GCGGGCATATCTTCAGGGGGTGTGCAAGAGGCAGCTGATCAATGACTCTCTCTCATTGATGTTTCTAACTCTCTATCTCTCTCCCTCTCTGTACAAAATCAATAAAATATATACTAAAAAAAAAAAAAAAAAAAAAAAAAAGAAGTTGAAGAAGGCACAAAGAAATGGAAAGATACTCCATGTTCATGGATTGGAAGAATCAACATAGTTAAAATGGCCATATCACCCAAAGCAATATAGAGATTTTAGGCAATTCCCTTCAAAATCCCGGTACTGTTTTTTAAAGAAATAAAACCAAAAAAATCAGATTTGTATAGATCCACAAAAGACCCCAAATAGCCAAAGCAATTCTAAGAAAAAAGAACAAAGTTGCACATTTCCTGAAAATATATTTCATCTATTTTATAGCTGAGTAGTATTGCATCATATCTATCTATCTATCTATCTCACATCTTTATCTGTTCATCTGTCACTGAACACAGGTTACTTCAATGAATACAGATGTACATATATCTTTTGAGTTAGTGTTTTTATATTCTTTGGATGAGTATCTATAAAAAGTGTATTTTTAAAAAATACAATTCTGAACTTGTTACTTTTCTATGTGAAATGAGTAAGTGGCTTTTCTGACAGTGTAAACCCACATTCTTTAACATGGCATATGACACTCTTCAACAGGTGGCTGCTTCCCCCTTTCCCGCCCACTCTTCTCTTCTTTTTCCCCTCTTTCCCCATCATCAGTGTTAGTCATGGTGAACTGGCTTGCCAGGCTGAGCCACTCCTCTGCATTGCTAGTAATGTGCTTAATCTTCCTCGATCTTTCAGTAGCCTCTCACCCCATTGCACACTCCCTCTATTTTGTACACCTTCTTTCCTTGATTTCCCAGACATTCCTTCTGGAACTTCCTCTTACCGTTCTGTATTTCATGCTTTTTTTTGCTGGCCACTCCTCTTTTACTCAGCCTTTGCATGCCAGGCTTTCTTGAGGCTCCGTCTTAGGCTCTATTTTCCCCTCATGGTTACTTTATATTTAGTTCTGCTCTAGATACCAGTGGTTTACTATAAGAATTTTTATATTTAGCAAAAATATGTACAGATAATTTACAGTATATTTAATATATATGTTCTCATAGCTGTTTGGTTACCATAGTGGAGAGTAGCACTCAATCAAACTATGGGGCTCCCTGTGTGCTATCTTTAGTTTGATTGAGTGCTTCTCTCCACTCTCTGTCTGGTCCCTCATTCTGCTATTGTATAAAATGATTAGGTTTTAGCACATACCCCCATAAAAAAGTAGCTCTTTTTAGTTCATCAAGTATAATAGCATTTGTCATGTCTATACACCTTACTAAATTAAATGGAGCAATTAGATAGAAATTAGGGTAAGCTTTGATTTTTTCATTTAAAAGAAAAATTCTCTTTTGGGAAATAAATTGGAATTATTAGATGAGACTCTCTATAGTGTTTATTATAGTCCAGGTCCTTGACAGGAAATAATTTTGAATAATGTAAAAAAAAATATTTTTAAAGGAAAGAATTGTTGAGTGACCAAGATGTAAACTTTTCAGTGATGAAAGATGTGCTGTGTGCTCATTAGAATTGCTCCATTTGATAGCTCACTCTTCCTGCTATTTCCTGATGTTCCATTTCTGGTACTCAGGAGACGCAATCTTTGATAATTGTGAAGGGTTAATGCAGGAGTCTGATGTGGCCATTACATCAATACTGAAGAAGTGGTATATGAAGTAATGACATTGCTATGATAGAACTAAAAAAAGCATTCACATGGAGAAGAAAAGTTAACCCTGAATATATTTAATTTTAAAAATGGGATTAAAATAGCATTGCAACAGGCATTTTACATAATTGAGCAATAAGTAAGGTAGCTTCATTTGCATTGCATTGTTTCTAATCCGAAGGAATAGGGATCTGTCCCTTTAATGAAACCCTGTTTACCTATCTCTTCTAGTAGGCGTGGCTTAGGAACCTGTAGGGTGAGGTATAACTTCCAATTCTGCATTCTGACCTGCCTCTTGGAAAGAATGCTCATACTACAAACCAGGAAGTGACAAATAATGTGCTTTAAACTACATTACAACTTGTCTTTTGTAAGGAAAAGCTTCTCATAATAAAACTAGAAGATCGAGGCAGTGATTTTACATGGTTGTCATTAAATGTTTGGAACTCTGCTGGGATAAAGAGTTTGCGGCATACTTAGAATACAAAGCTTTCTAGTCCAGAAATTGATCTCCTGACTTTTGAGCCTTATCTGGTTACTGCTTGGTTCATGTTATTTTGTTAAAGTACTCTGCAGGCTAAACCGGGGAGACTCTCCGTGGTTTGCAGGTAGGTGGTCAGCCTTTGTTTAAAATTTAGGTTGTGTTTTAACATTGCTCAGTCTTGATTGTGCTGCTGATTATTGAAATAACAATGAATCTCAGTAGAATGTATGTTTGAATGTTCAGCATAGCTTTCAATCACCATATTTTTTGTGACTTCTGGCCAACTTTGAAGAAAATGTCATTTTTAACAAATTAGCAAGTCTATAAGCTGGTGAGTTGTGAGTTCTATTTTGTTTTCCATTAACCTTTTATATATACACATTTTAAAAACTAATAGATTAAAAATATATTGAAATTATAAATTACCCTGCTATTAATTTCCTGATAACATTTGATAATATATTTAAATCATTTATTTATGTAGTCAAATAAAATTTAATTTTTGTTGTTAATATTTTACTTATAAGTTTTATACTTTCACAATTAGGAAGCTGTCCGAATGTTTATCTACTTGCCTTAGTCTCTTTTGGTGTCGTTTAATATCCATTATTTCAAAAGAGTTTTTATAAGAGGTTAATATTCCACAAGTACTAGATTGAAATATTGCTTGTTTCTCTTTATAATGTTAACCATCTATTTATGAGAGTAAAAGTATTTCAAAGATAATGTCTTTAGAAGAGTGAGCTAATTTTTAATATGAATTAACTGCTGTTGTGAAGAAAAAAAAAAAAGGAAAAAAAAAGCTCTTCTGGAGTGGAAGTAAAAAAAAAAGTGTACTTTTTGGATCAAGGACAGTGGTTCCTTAACCTTCTCTACCACCAGTGCTCCTTCTAATTTTTTCTATGGACACTATACTTCAAAAGACTTTTTGTCCATCAAATAAATGGTATATATTAAATAATGAAATGTTAGAACATTATTGTTTATTAGTTGCATATTATTTTTATTATGTTTGACATAACCACTTTAGGTTAATATAATTCAGCTCCAAACAAAGAGGCCTGGCATTTTACTTAGCTTGAATAATTTTATTGTAGGTAACCAATCGAATATTTCTGACTTTTGAAACATTGAGAATATTATCTGAATTTTCATCAACTACTCTTGTGGAATCCTAGTAATCTGAGCCTGGCAAATTGGGAACTAATGGTCTAAAGTGCAGAAATTTTTTTTCTTAATCTCTTGAGGTTCCACGAAATGTAATGAAGGTTATCAAGTGTAATGTAACAAACAAAGATACCATAGCTTCTAGACAGAGAGAAGAAACAAGGAGAAAGGAAAAACAAACAAACAAAAAACCCCCAAAAAACAAAGGAAGTGGTATTTGTCATAGGGAATATCTGGGAGGAATTTAAGGCACCTGTATGTTTTGGCCCCATTAAATATATATTTATTCCTACTATTTCCCAACTTAAAATTTTTACTCCACTTAGGCTGATAAAATATTAACTGGCTTCAAAACAAATATTACTTTGGTTCTTCATGTAGTAGTTATATATTTGTATGTTGGTTTCCCTTGCCAAGAATTTCCTTGTTTCTTCATTTTCCCTCTTCATGTTCTTCTCTCAGCTCAGCTGAAGACCCTTCTCCTGTCTGAGCACCCAAACCCATGTAGTATTTACTACAGTGTTAAGTACATATTGATATTACTAGAGGCCCAATGCACGAAATTTGTGCAAGCTTCCCTCTGGCACCCAGAACCCAGGCTTCCCTCTGGCCACAGGCAGGCACCTGGGACCCAGGCTTCCCTCGCTGCCCTGGCTTTGTCCAGAAGAATGTCCGATCTAATTAGCATATTACACTTCTATTATTATAGAGGGTTTGTCATATTTAATTTACTTAAAGGTCTCCTGTGTTTCTTCAACTATACTGTAAGTTGTTTGAGAGCATTTTATCCTCTTTAGTATCTAGTTGCAGGGGTACACATTTGATAACTTCTAAATATTGTAATTATCTGTTGAATGGATGAGAGAAATAATCTTGCCAATAGTTGCTTCAAGTATTATGCTGCCTCCTTCTCCCTTGCTTAATCATGTGGTTACCAGCAGTAATGTTTCTAGAAATGAGACCATTGGTTGTCACCTTGTTATTGTTTTACTATGTAATGTGCATTTTTTGTATTAGACGATTTTAACACTGATATGATACCTACAAAGAAAGAATGAATTGGGCTTTATTATAAATAAATCAAATAAAATATTCTTTATTTCAACCTCTTGCATTTTATGTTTTAGGAAAATATAATTTAAAGTCTACTGCTATGCAAGGTTTTTAAAATGGTTGAAGTATTTGGCTATATTATGGGTTAAGAGGATGGGTTCTGTTTGATGATTAGAACTCTGGATGGAGACCCAGAGTCATGGTAGACTGGCTGGATTGCAGAATTTAAACGGCAAATTAGTAATTGCCAGAAACCATGAACACTTAGTTTTATAAAAAGAAAACTTCAAACATCTTTCCATTTACAGTAGTTATTGTATTACATACTTTAAAATCGTTACTTTATTTATTCCCAGTATCAACTCTGCCAGATAAATTCTGTTAACCCATAGTTTTTATAGAAACAAAAAACTGACATCTATAAGGGTAAAAAACTACCAAAGTCATACATCTAGTCGCTGCACATCAGTCATTTTGACTTCAAAATTCATGTTGGAATCACTACATTACACTATCTTACATTTTCTGATACGCAGTGTAATTTTTCTGTCCTTTTAGAGCTTGACCAGACAGGAATTCTGGCAGCTGCTCCAGCAGAACTATGGCGCTGAGCTAGGCTTAAATGCCGAAGAGATGGAAAACATGTCCGTGTCGATTGAGGATAATGTACAGCCAAGGTACAGCAATGTTTTCAAATGTCAAGATTTCTTAACCACTAAACAAAGCAGAATTATTTTAAACTTTACTAATTCAGATTTCTGTTTACTCACCCTGGGTGAAATTTGCCTTCGTCCTCTGTAGTGGAATGGAGTGAGAGTTGAGGACAGTGAATAGTTTACTAAATTGGTAAACTAAGCAACTAAGCAAATACAAAACACACAAGGAAATATGTCTATATAACTGTGTCACCTAGGATTTGCTTAAAGTGTGATTTTAGTAAATTTTTAAAATTAAGGATCTGGAGAAGTACTTACTGAAATCTCTGTGCTTACACTGATGAGTATTTTGAGGGATACAAAGATATCACAACTTTTCCTCAAGGATACCCTAGCATAGTGCTTGAGATGTAGTTGACACTTAACAAATATAGAATGCATTAAGTAGGGAAGCTTACAGTACTATGGGGAATGCAAATAATTATAATACAAGGTTGAAAATGATAAGGGCCAAGAGGAGCACTAGATAATGTGATAAAGAAATTCAGAGTAGAGAGAGATTATTTTTGACTGACGGGAATTCATTTGTAAGAATGGACATTTTTATTAATCTGTAGAAGTAAAAATGCATTTTGTGTAATGATAATTGCGGTCATAGCAATAAAAATAACTGAGTATAATACATTAAACTTCTAAAGCAAACATTAATGCTAAGTGAATGAAGCCAGTCACAAATGACCATCCTGTATGATTCCATTTATATGAAATAGAGCCTAGAAAAATTAAATCCATAGAGACAGAAAGCAGATTAGTAGTTGCCAGGGGCTTGGAGGAAGGGAAAATGGGAGTGATGCTAATGGGTACAGGGTTTCTTTTTGGGGTGATGAAAATGCTCTAAAATTAGATAGTGGTGATGGTTGTATAACCCTGTAAACCACTGTATTGTATATTTTAAATATGGTACATTTTATGGTAAGTGAATTACAACAATAAAACTTATTTTAAAAATTCTATAGCAGCCAAAAACGGTTTGGCTTAGTGGATAGAGCGTTGGCCTGCAGACTGAAGGGTCCCAGGTTCGATTCTGGTCAAGGGCATGTACCTTGGTTGCGGGCACATCCCCTGTGGAGAATGTGCAGGAGGTGGCTGATCGATGTTTCTCTCTCATCGATGTTTCTAGCTCTCTATCCCTCTCCCTTCCTCTCTGTAATAAAATCAATAAAATATATTTTAAAAATTCTATAGCAAATAAATCTTAAAATGGAAATGTTTCAAAAGCCTTGATTTTTTACTCCAACTAGTGTTCTAGTCATGCTGATCCTATTTATAGTGTTTCAGTTAAGCATCAATATTTTACAGTGTTTTTTTACATGGTTACACATGCATATTTTATTAGTTTTCTGTAATGTTAAATTTTTCTATTGTACAGCTGTCCTTGTCAAGTTTATTCGCTTCTTTCAGGTACTGGAAGTTGGGTAGAAAAGCAATTGATAACAATCCAAAGAGCCTTGGATAGCGGTAAAGAAGATCTGGATTTTAGTCTGGACTCTGTCACCAAGTAGCTGAGCAACCTCAAGCAAATCACTTAGCTTTTCTGATCCTCAGTTTTCTCATCTGTGAAATGAGGCAGTTAAATTATATGGTCTCCGAGGCCTCTGACAACTCAAAATGTTTCTGGTGTTTGAAGAAATAAACATTTTTGAGCAGCTGCTTTATACGCTTTAAGGTGCAAGTTCTTGAAGTCAGCAGAAAAGCTTCTGTTTTCTCGGCGATTGAGTGCTTTCTAAGAAAGATATGGCAGGATCCTCACTCCCTTTTCTGCTCCTTTTCCCATTCTTCCAGCCTCTGAAAGAAGCATATCTGTCTCAGACATTTATTTCCTTGGCTTTTCCATCTTCTTTCTCTTCATTTTCAATCTCTCCTTCACTCTCTGTTCTCCTTTTTACTATATTTCACAACTCAACTCCCCTCTTAAAATCCTGAGGTACAGACACTCAGATGGTGGGCTAGTCTCCGGGAGCCATTTTTCTTGCTCGGTTCCCTCAGAGCCTGGCCATTCTGCGGGGCCTAAAGTGACCTGGTAGCAGACCTAAGTGTTAGTTGGATGGAGGAGAATAGAGTTTAAAGGCCTTTTGGCATTTCTGCTCCTTCCTCAGGATAGTATGGCTTCACACATCAGGCTGTTTATTTTAGAAGAGCTTTAAGTCTATACAATGATTACATGTGGTAATAATTCTCAGTAAGGTCGAGGGCTGGAGGTTAGATCCGTTGTGTGCCTTTTGTGTTTAATAGACTTCCCTTTCTCTTGGCTCCCTGAGAGAGGAAAAGCAGGTCCCAGGACAGTTAGTGTAGTCTTGTCCCGATGACCGTTCGAAAGCTGCTCCTTAAACCTTGTTCTTAGGAATGAGACAAGCAAGAAGGGGATATGGACCGATTAATGGGCTCTGGGCTGAGACCTAAGGAGCTTCCACTGCTGGGGAGGATCCACCATCTCAGGGACTGAATCAGAAGGAAGGATAGCAAACTGCCTCTGGTGCTGACTGGCATCCAACTCAGACATCCGCCGTGTATCTTTTGGTGCTTTGTGGTTGTTTGCAACTGACATGCAAACAAGCAATAATTATTTTATTAGTTGCTATTACGGCCACTTGTACTTGGTTCATTTTTTAATGGTTTATGAAATTTATAAAATCTCACATGAGCATTATCTTGTTTTCAGATATAAAGCCAATTTGCATGTGATTTAAGAAGATAGCTATGTTATAAATAGAGGCTTATTTGTTACATTACCAAAAAACCATTTGTTTTCAAAGTGCTTTATAATAGAAAAGGCCCTCAGAGAGGAGACAAAATCACATATCAGTGTGGCAGTGACCTTGTTTATATTTCCATAATGATGTGTGTGTTTCTTATAGAAGTCCTGAAAGAAGCAACTTGGATGACTGTGGGGAGAGAGATGAAAAATTGTCCAAAACAATCAATGAATCAATGAATCGGGCTTCAGAAACAGAGTCAATCGATGGAAATCTATCAAAAATGGTTAGTGTATGATACCCCTTTAAAAATTTATTTGATGCTGCCATGTGTTAATCATGATATAAGATAAAATGAAAATACAGTATACAAAATATTTAAAACTTAAGATGTCAGGCTGCCTTTTCTTTTAGGAGTGTTAAGTGTGTAAGTAGCAGAGGTTCTGTTCAGAGCTGGATATGGTGCAGAGCTATCAGACAGAGCACCAGTCTAAGAGGGTTTAGACATCACTAAACATATAATAAGATGGCCTGTCCAGTGGTTGAGTGTCGACCCCATGAACCAGGAGTTCATTATTTGATTCCCAGTCAGGGAACTTGCCCAGATTGAGGGCTTGATCTCCAATGAAGGGTGTGTAGGAGGCAGCCAATCAATGATTCTCTGTCATCATTGATGTTTCTATCTCTCCCTCCCTCTCTGAAATCAATAGAAGTATACTTAAAAGATATAATAAGGCAGAGAAAGATATAGCATAATTTTCCCCAGGGTAGATAGTGTGTGTAATAATCTGTTCTGAAGGGGGATGTGAGCCCTGAGCAGCTTGCTTGCATAATAGGAGACGCTTCTTAAGCTGACTGCTAAAGCAGGCACATCCAGTTAACTACCGGCTTTCAGAGTTAGTTCCTTCCTTTCTTTTTTTTCAAGCATCATTATAAGCCCATTGATTTTTCCCTGAGCTTCTATCACTTGGAGTCATTATTATTTTTAATACCCAGTCTGTCCCTCCTGAGCCCCTTTCCATTGGCTCCTTTGTCCTGTTAAAATCATGGGTGATTTCTGATGGCTTCCTTTCTTTCTGCACAAGAACACGTCCCAGGCACATTTTGTATAATTTTGTCCCAGACTTAATATCAACCATTTTCACTAAACTATATAGTTCTTAGTGAAGAATGGTATTTAGAGATCACATTCTGAATACTAAGATTGTGCCTACTCTAGAGCTTTTATTCTGATTGGAACTGCAAGTTTGGGCCTAAAGCAGAATTTCTTGGTTTGGACCAGAGCATCGGCTGCAAATCCTAACTCTGCCATTTGCTGTATGACTTTAAATAAGTTAATTTAATTACTTAACCTTTCTCTGCTTTTGTTTTCTCAACTCCTTGAAGATGAGGACAATAATATCCCATGGGGCTATTTATAAGGATTGAATGAGTTAATATATGGGAAAGTGCTTTGAACAGTCCCTAGCACACATTAAGTGTTCAGTAACCACAAGGTGGGATAATTGAAGGCAAGTCTGTGTGTGGCCAGCAATGGACCTTTTTCACCTTCTCCCATGGAACTCCCAGAATCTCCTGTGAATAAATGTAAGGAAAACATGGAAACAGACTGTATTTATGTGAAAGCCCACCAAGGTGTCAGCTAGTTTCAGGCACCTATCATGCATCTCCCTTGCTCTGATTTTTTGTTGAGGGTTTCTTGCAAAACTGACCCATCTGGAGTCACCCCTAATTGCCCTCCCCTGCAGGCTTGGTCCCTCCCCAACTTCCCTCCCTCTCCTGCAGGCCTGGTTGCCCCCAATTGCCCTCCTCTGCAGGCCCTCTCCTCCCCAAGTGCCCTCCCTCCCCTGCAGGCCCAGTCACCTCCAACTCCCCTCCCCTTCAGGCCTGGTCGCCCCTAACTGCCCTCTCCTGCTGGCTTGATCACTTACAACTGCCCTCTCCTGCCAGCCATCTTGTGGTGACCATCTTGTGACCACATGGGGATGGCTCTTATGCGAGGGTATGATGGTCAATTTGCATATTACCTCTTTATTATATAGGATAGGAGCTGTATCTTAATTAGTGACAACAGAAGAAAGATGTGTGGAAACTTACTCTACTTAGCATCTGTTACACTCTGGGTCAGCTAAATAAGCATATTGTTTTGCAGTGTGGAACTTCCGAATAAATGAAGTCTTTATTTTAGCAGTAGCCACTGCTTGAAGAGTCAGTCCTCTGACTAGGATAGTCTAATCCTTTATTAAATTGTGACCTGAGTCCCAGTAGTTATTCTGCTTTCTGTGTGGCCAATGGAGCCTGTGTCTCATGGGCAGAAAGTATAAGGCTTGTATCTGTGTGTTTTACTTTCTTTCATCTGCTTACACACAGACAATGCAAGGAAGTTCTTTGCTGTATACTTTATATTTTTTTACACTGTTTTATTAAGCCTAATAATAACATTCTTCTACTCAAATACCAGCTTAGCAGTAGCATTCATACTGTAATGCCTAACATTTAATTTTTATAGAAATTACATATCTTTATTAAACCACTCCCTGAAAATATAGATAGCATCATATATCGAATATATTTTAATGCCCAATCTTTAGTCCCTTAACAGTAAAGACAACTGAGTTATGAGTTTGCAGTGAAATTAATCTTCCCTTTTAAGCTTCTCTCCCCTACTGTACTCTTATGTGACATTTATCTCTCTGTTTTCTTTCTCTTTTCCCTTTAGTTACTGGTCTTGAGAGATGGGTGAGTTTTCTTCTTTGAGATGTTGGGGCAGGTATTGCCTGGGGACACTAGCTGGGTTTTACTCCTCTCCTTTGCCCATCCCATAGAAGGAATACTCCATTATGTCGTCCTCTGCCCCCTCTCCCTTCTGTGTGAATGATTCACATGCTGTTATTTCTCAAAGTTATTTATATGATGTTCTTAAGTTTATTGTTTGTTACTGCTTAAGAAGATGACTTTACAATGATATATATTACTTGCCAGTGTTTTATAGACTGAATTGGAAATGTGATGCAAACATAACAAGCACAGTTTTCAAAGTGTGCTTATAATTAAAGATTTCTCTGTGAAATCTAAGCCTATAATATAAATATATATATTTTAAGCTGGATTGTTTGCCTTTTAGGAGTTAGGGAAAGAGGAAGCCCAAAGCGAGAAACAGCTAAAAAAGAGTCCTTCACTAACTTCAGAAAAGAGGTTAAGTAGAGTTCCATCAAAATCGCTGGACTTGAATAAAAATGAGTATCTTTCTCTGGACAAAAGCAGCACTTCAGATTCTGTTGATGAAGGTAAAGAATTCTCTCTGCTTTCTCTAAGTTGGTATCAATAACTTGGGCTTGTCATACTTATTAAGTGGGCATTTTAAGGATTAAAAAACAAAACAAAAAATTGTAAGATTATTGACATTGAAGCCAGTGGAGTAGGAAGCATCGGGGAAGGTTCCGAGCAGTGATTGCTTTCAGGCTGAGGAATGGGAACAATGTCTGGGTCTTTTCCAGACCTGCTTTCCTACAAGCAGTGCTTGGGGTAGCACCGGGGACGTTGCCGTGGTTTGGGTCTGTAGGGCATAGGAATGTGCTAGGCTAGCTGCTGTTTTGGTGAGACCTGGTTTGAGAACCCCGGAAGTCTTTTACTATCATGAAAACCAAATCCATGGAAATCCACACTACATCCCACACTACACTACATCCATCTAAATCCAACCCAAATTAAACCCAAATCTAAAATCAGATCTAAATTCAACCAAACCAAGCCCATGAAAACCCAATACAAATCAGGTTAGACTTTGGTTTGGGAACCCTGGAGTTTTTTAATAAAACTAAACCCACACTCTTAAAAACATAAGTAAAAACCCACTATTTCCTAGGAAGAACAGGCTGCATTAAGAAGACAGTTGTTGAGTTCTTTTTGAAAAGATGGTTAAGAGAGAGTATTTTAAAGACACCGAGCCCCTAAATCCTGGTTTTCTCACCTTTCATGCTTTGGTAGACAGCGGGTATGAGTTAGTTATCTCCTGCCTGGCTGAACCTTTGACTGTAGGAAGATCTACTCTGGCACCCAGTGGCCAGAGGGGTAAGTGACACCAAAACAAGGATTCTTTTTTCCTTTTCACCTGCTCTTTATAACAGTGCTTCAAAGGTAGTTTCCTTATTGAGTTCCTATAAAATTAAGATTAATGATAAGTTGCGTAAAGGATACCATTAAAACTCATATACACTGCATTCACATCTAGAAATAGAGAAAGAATAACAGTGGTATGGTTGCTGTATTGCATGTGAACCCTGACCACATTTTGCAACTTGCTGGCACCCATTTAAAGATACCATTGGGCTTCTCAGCAGGAAGGCCTTCCATGCAACATTCGGCCTCTGTGCAGGTTTTCTTTGAGGTGCTTCAATTAAATTATCCTTTGACAACAAATCAAGTACTGCTATTGCTTTCCCTAAGCAGGTTTCAAAATCTTGGGCTTATCAAATGTATTATGTGGGTTTTATAATGAATCTATTTTTTGTTTGTTTGTTTCTAAAAATTGTGAGGTTATGAAGACGCTTGAAGTCCATGAACTGGGGAGACGATGGGAAAGGTCAAAAGGAGTAACCCATCCCAAGAAATTTGGAAACATGTGTGGGGATTTAGAGGGAGCTAGGGAGATGGCAGATTAAACCAAGCCTCACTTTATTTAAAATAATAGTTTTAAAAAAAAAATCTATTATGAGCAGGTTGAGTGAGAAAATGAGAGGATTTCCTTTTTACCACATATATCCTATACTCCTTGGGAAAGAGGCCCTGGACTGTTCTGATAGAGAGACTCCTTCTAGGCCCATGTAACCTTGAGAGGAATCAACAGAGCAGAGCATCACAAACTGCCTCGTGAGAGGCCTGAAATGCTCCCAGCACAGTCCCCTTGCTGTGGAGTTCCCTCAGCCCCATAAGGAGAGCCTGGAATCTGCTGCGACCGGCTTCTTTTTCAAAGCTCATTCTCTGCACTAGGAAATTTAGGCCCCACCAAGAGTGAAGGTTCCCTTTTTAGGGATATTTCCGTACATCCGGAAGTTGGTTCAGGCCTTTCAGCTGCTGAACAAAAGGCGAGGCATTGTGTTTTAATCTGTTAAACCATTTAGTACATTAAAACTTCGTTATATAATAATTGACAGACAAAGCCACACAACTTTGTTTCTTTAGAAGGTTGTTGCTGATAGACTTTCCTAGCTCACTGTTTGCCCGCTTTTGGGGAGGAGCTCAAACCATTGGAGAAGATGCTGGGAGTTTTCTGGCACATGAAGGTGAGTGGACACCATGCAATGTGTCCACATCCATAAGGACCAGGAGGTTACGGCTGTGTTTTCAAGGACCTAATATTTACGTTGCTTTCAGGATTTGCTTCTTCCCCATGCCCGCCTCTGTCATGCCAGGGGTAGCCTGCCCAGGAGGTGGAGCCTTGAGTGGAAGCAGACAAACTAGCTCATGGCCTGAGACACCTGCGCTGTGTCATGTGATAGAAGTTAAATTTAGTTTCGTATAGCGGAAGCTTCCCTAACCAAAGTGACTTATGCCGAGAATGGAAACTAAGGCAAAGATTAAGTGGGGGGGGAGGGGTGCATAAAAATAGCAAAGTTGGAACCCATGGTCTACAGCTGACAGAATAAGATGAGTTAGAGGCCAAGCCATGCAAAGAGAAACAGGAATCAGATTATCGAGTGATGCTTATTCATTAATAAAGGTGAGGACAAGTATACCTCTGGGGAAAGCCAAAGAAAAGCATGACATAGTCTAGCACAGTGGTTGGCAAACTCATTAGTCAACAGAGCCAAATATCAACAGTACAACGATTGAAATTTCTTTTGAGAGCCAAACTTTTTAAACTTAAAGTTCTTCTAACGTCACTTCTTCAAAATAGACTCGTCCAGGCTGTGGTATTTTGTGGAAGAGCCACATTCAAGGGGCCAAAGAGCCGCATGTGGCTCACGGGCTGCCATTTGCCAACCATGGGTCTAGCATGTCAGGCGAGCAGCTAAACGGGGTAACCCTGACACTATTACCCGACTCAGGTTTTTGAACAACACTATCAAGTTAAACGTGGCTTTTCAGGTGTAAAGAAAGCCCTCAAACTAGGTCAAGAAGACTGCAGGTCACCAGTCTTTAGAAAATGGAAGAAGATATAACACACTGTGTCCTCAGTCCCTCAGTGAAGCTCCGACTCATCTGCTTTTCTTGCATGCCTACCTAGTCCATCTTTCATGCTCCTTCAGTTTTATCCATGTCCGTCTCCTTTTCTGATCTCTCAATTTCCCCACCATTTCCACCGGCCACTTTCAAACTGGTCTGCTGGAGTAATACCTCTTCTTCACTGGAAATGGTGACCTGCTGCGGAAACCGGTTTGGCTCAGTGGTAGAGCGTCGGTCTGCGGACTGAAAGGTCCCGGGTTCGATTCCGGTCAGGGGCATGTACCTTGGTTGCTGGCATATTCCTGGTAGGGGGTGTGCAGGAGGCAGCTGGTCGATGTTTCTCTCTCATCAACGTTTCTAGCTCTCTATCCCTCTCTCCTCCTCTCTGTAAAAAATCAATAAAATATATTATAAAAAAAAAAGGAAAAAAAAAAAAGAAACGGTGACCTGCTGCGACACTGAGCATGTTCCTTTCCCCATGTAAATCCCAGCTGCTGGCTCAGGACCAGCTGCTGGCTCAGGAGGTCACAGCTATGCGAAAAGCGATGTTCCTTGGATAGGAGGCTCTAAATACCATGCGTGTCATACATAATTAGTCCCAGGTGGAAATAGTTCATTTCTCGTCCTTCTTCAAACACATTTACATACCAGCGGTATTACTGTTACTTTCCTTTAGTGATACCAACAAATTCTGTTTTTATTATTTACGATACAGAGCAGTTTATCTCATAAGGGAGCTTACATGAAATAGGAAAATATTATATTGAAATGCCTATATGAGTGGGATTTGTTTCCTTCTTAAATGTGAACAAAAACTTTACTTTTGAAAAATTATAGCTCCAGGGCTCTTCAGAAAAAAGACTGCTTCAAGGCCTGGGATGGGGAAAATACACAATGAGCCTAGCGTGCTTGTAGTGCCAGAAAATAAAGCACCTACAATAAAAGGGAGGCGTGGCCAAGGACACAGGAGTCCACCTGAAAGAGCTCCTGATGGCCAAATAAAAAAGTTTGAGCAACAAAATAAATAATTCTCATGGACTAGAGAATAAAGTAAGTCCATACTGATATAAATGATTGAATAAATACACACCACAGAGGAGGAAACACAAATCTTCCTCATAAAGTTCCAGATAATGTATGCAGATACTCCCCCTTCCAGGAGGCGGAGGGTAGTTCTCTCCTCCCAATGACTCATCCCTAACACACTAGAGGGGGGATGTGGATACTGGGCAATGGAGAAACCTACCAGACAACACCTTAAACAAAGCGGTCAAGGTTAGCATCATCACAGATCATATTGACATGTCTACCCCTCTCTCCAGTTTGATGTGGAGGGCACTCCATCTTTGTGGTGTTCTTCCCCCAAGTCCACAGCCCTGGTCCAATCATGAAGAACCCTTATGAGCCCTGAGTGAGTGACATGCTATAAAGCATCTCACAGTGCTCTTCAAATGTGTTAAGGCCATTAAAAAAAAAAAAAAAAAGGAAAGCAGGAGGAGGGACTGTCATAGATTGTAGGAGATTAATGAGATACAACAAGTAAATGCAACATGGTGTTTTGGATTTTTGGATCGGCTCTTAGTTCAGAAAAGGACATTATTGGCTGTGGGGGCATTAAAGCCTAGTTTAGTTAATTGTACATATACAATTACTCAGAATTAAAATGCTTAAAAGTATGGTTGCAAATTCAGAGTTCTATAAATAAAAATAGACCCTAAGATATTTTTAGTGATTTCAATAGCCACTAAACAAATTCACATATCAGAGGTATTATTGTTAATTTCCTTTAGTGATACCACAAATTCTAAATTTGTTCAATCAAAAGTATTTTATACTCATTATGTATCAAGCACATAGTATACATTGGTGTTTAAAGTCAACATGGTTCCTACTCACGTGGAACTTAGAGTTCAATGCAGGAGAGAGACAATAGGCAAGGCAATAAGCCACCAAAAATATAATTACAAGTTGGGATAAGTTCTGTGAAGAAATGAGCTGGATCAAGAGAATCACCTGTACTTATTTGTATTCTTTGTGAATATCTGAATTATTTTTACAATGAACATATATTACTTCTATGTCAGAAAGGCTATTTATCAAGCCTAATTGGGAAGCTGACTCACAAAATCTTAGCAAATTGCCTAGTTTCAGTGATTCATTTCTATGCCGAAGGAGCCATTATTTGAAATTGCAGTGAAGAGCTTGTACCTACAAGAATAAGTCAATGTTTACTGGATATGTACTTGATATAAGTCCTGTGCATCTATAGCAAAGTAGAGACACAAATGACTTAGTAGTGATGGAGAAAAAGCAATAGTTGAGATGAAGACAGAGCTGGAAAAGGTTTTCTGATTTTTAGACCGGTCTTTTACTTTTTCAGACTGCTTCCTGAGGTGTAATATTGGTGGATGCTCTACACAGACAATTCTTAGAGCTTGATTTCTGAAATATGGGGAGTTTGGGGCACAGTTTCCATTTTGTATTGCATAATCCTTGAAATAATAAATAACCCCAGTCCTGAAATCATTAAAATTACATATTGGATTGCTTGACTCTATTTCCCTTACTTTACCAAGCTCCTATTCCTAGCTGTCTTTTCTTTCTGATTATTCTAAGTTAAACTCCTGGAAATATAAAATAGAGGTTAAGTTTGCCTGTTTTGGAGCTGTAGTGAATTCCAGTTCCAATTCAGTCTCTCCCTAACTGTGGAGTTTTGGTGATCACTCTGTGCCTCAGTTTGCTCATCTGTGCAATGGAAACAATGATGATTCCACTTATCTCCCAGGATTGCTGTGAGGATGAGTGAATATTTGTAAGGTGCTTAGCACAATGTATGGCATATAGTAAGTGCCACAGAAGCTTGGGCTATTCTATACAATGTTCCCTAGGACTGTGAGGAGAGGTGAACAGAGACTGCTTCTTCATTTGTGGTCAGTAGTTTTCAACCTCATTATTATTATCAGGTTCCCAGAAAATGTGTAATATTTTGTTGGACATTATTTAACTTTGAAGCACACTTTTCAGAAGGATTTCTTCTTTTAATGTGTGGCATTAAGAATAAGGTGTGAATACAACGTTACCTGACTTGGAGTCAGCTTTGAGATGTATTCAGGCTAGTAAATGAGTGGGTGCAGCAGGTACTAGAGCCATCCATACTTTATGTGCACTGACTGCGTGAGCACTCAGAAATGCGTCCTGCTAAGTGTGGTGGTATATGCTGTGCCATGCATCTAGTTTTGCCCTTGAAACCTTTGAAATATTCTTTTGAATGATGCATTATGGGAGTTTGATATCATTGAAAGTTAAATATTTTTCTATCTTTTAGGTATTGACAACTGAAATATTGATCATTATAGTTTAATTAACTATATACTCTTATGTGTAGTTATACATCATTCATACGTATATACACCAATTTAGAGTTTTTATAGTGCCCTGAATGTGCTGATCACTGTAATCACATTTAAAAACTATTTTGTACCAAAAACAAGCAAACAAAACCAAACCTTAAAATTACCTTTCCTTGGTTTCTTCTCTTATGGTTCTGTTTTTTTTCTCCCCACAGAAAATATTCCTGAGAAAGAGCTTCAAGGAAGACTTTATATCGACCGTGTTTTTCACATCGGTGCTGATAAAATGTTTGAATTGCTCTTCACCAGTTCACGATTTATGCAGAGATTTGCCAATTCTAGAAATATAATAGGTTGGTTTTTGTGTTCTTATCTGAAAAATTTAGGAAGATTTTATTCTCTCTAGAAAGTTGAGCCTATATAAATCGATTTACATTGTCAGGGGGAAAATCAGACAGGTTCTGACTGTACTTTGGTGATATGTAAACTAGTGTTTAAGTATTTCGGTTAAATTCACATATAAACAATAGTTGTCCAGTTAGTCAAATCCATTCAAGCCTTTAAAAACTGAAGCTCTATTTATTTATTAATGTAGCAATTCTGTTGGGTTGAACCTATTTTAAAGGTGTGGTTGTGGAACAGCTGGATGCTAGTAGTGTGTAAATTGGTACAATCACTTTGCAATATGGTTTAGCAGAATCTACTAGAGCTGATCCTAAACATTCTCTCTGACTTAGCAATTCTACTACTGGGCATGTATCCTTCACAAATGGATACATGTGTACTCTGAATGACATGTACTATTATTCATAGCAACATTATTTAGAATGCCCCAGAACTCAAAACCCAAATATTCATCAGTTCTAGGCACAAAAATGTAATTGTTTATTATTCATAGTAGAGTAGCAAAGCACTTTCTAAATAATAGTTTATTAGAGTCTTGTGATTATATAATTTCATAGTTTAAAAAGTCTTTTATTATATCTTCTGAATCTATTTTGTATTTTCTTGCTATTCGTGTTTGCCTGTTGAACTTGACATGTCAGAAGAGTTGGATGCATTATTTCTCTTAATTTTTTAAGATAAAGCCTGTTGATACTGCACTGCTGTTTCATGGCTGAAAAGGTCCATGAGGAGCTAGCATATTATTCTTAAAAGAGGTTTGTTTTTTGAATCACAACTGTGTTTAGTGTCCAGCATCACTTCTGGCTTCGGTGTGGATGAATATATGTGCTATCTGGTGTTGTAAGCGGCTTTGGGAAGCAAAAGCTTCTGGCTAGTTCTAAATCTAAACAGTTATAGGCACATTGTTATTTAGACCTGGAATTACTCGGAAGGTTTTCTCCAAAAGAGAGAATGTGTATATGATTGCACACAATTATGTTTTCTGAATTTGGTACCTGGTAATCAGTTATATTTCTTGATAATGGATTTCAAAGGCTTCTTTTAAAAAGTATTGTGGCCCTGGCTGGTGTGGCTCAGTTGGTTGGAACACTGTCCTGTGCACCAAAGGGCCTGCCTGTTTGAATCCCGGTCAGGGCACCTGTCCAACTTGTGGGTTTGACCTCTGTCTGGGGGGCATATGGGAGGCAACCAATTGATGTTTCTCTCTCTCCCTCTCAGTCTCCCTTCCTCTCTTCAAAATCAATAGAAATATATGTTTTAAAATATTAATATAATGAAAATATTTTCATAGTCAATTTGTAGATTTAATCTAATCAGCACTAACATTGCTACAACTGGATCTAATTATAATTTTTTAAATTAGGGAGTTTTTATTTTTTTATTTTTTATTTATTTAATTTATTTTTTTAAATATATATTTTATTGATTTTTTTACAGAGAGGAAGGGAGAGAGATAGAGAACCAGAAACGTTGATGAGAGAGAAACATCGACCAGCCGCCTCCTGCACACCCCCCACCGGGGATGTGCCCGCAACCAACGTACATGCCCCTGACCGGAATCGAACCCCGGACCCTTCAGTCCGCAGACCGACGCTCTACGACTGAGCCAAACCGGTTTCGGCTAATTAGGGAGCTTTTAAATCAGTATTCTTTTAAGCCTTTGTTTATAGTTATATGACTACTGTGTTTCCCCGAAAATAAGACATCCTCCGAAAATAAGACCTAGCGCATGGAAAGATAAGACATCCCCTGAAAATAAGACCTAGCGCAACTTTGGGAGAAAAAATTAATATAAGACACTGTCTTATTTTTGGGGAAACAGGTATGTATTTCAAAGCTTAGTTTTGTCCTTTTATTCAACTTTTTAACTTTGACAAAATGTTAATCTTCAGAAAAGTTTCATGAATAGTCTAATAAAATACACACACCTATCACTTAGATTCACCAATGTTTTTATTGTGATAAATGTATGAAGATAAGATACCATTTTAAAGTATACAATTTAGTGGTATTAAATACATTCATATTGTTGTCCAGCCATCACCACCACCCACTCCAGAACTTTTTCATTTTCCCAAACTGAAACTCTGTATCCATTAAACAATAATTATCCATTACCCCCTCCTCCCAACTCCTGATGATCACCATTCCACTTTCTCTTTTAATTTGACTATGCTAGTACTGCCTTTAAATGGAATCATACTATATTTGTCTCTTTGTAACTGGCTTATTTCACTTACCATAATGTATTTAAGGTTTATCCACGTTTTATCATGTGTCATAATTTAATTCCTTTTAAAGACTGAATAATATTCCATTGTATGTATATACCACATTTAGTTTATCCATTCATATGTTGATGGAGTTCTGAGCTATTTCCATTTTTTTTGTGTGTGTGTTAATCCTCTCTTGAGGATATTTTTTCCATTGCTTTTTAGAGAGAATGCAAGGGAGAGAGATGGAGGGGAGAGAAAGAGAAGGGGGGAAAGAGACAGAGAAAGAGAGAGAGAGAGGTGAGAGAGGAGAGAGATGTGAGAGACACATTGACTAGTTGCCTCCTGAATGCGTCCTGGACTAAGGGAGGGGAGCGAACCACAACCCAAGTAAGTGCCATTGACTGGGAATCAAACAGTGACCCGTTGGTGACCACACTGGCTAGGACTGTTTCCACTTTTTGGTTATTGTGGATAATGCTGCTGTGGACACTGATGTGCAGATATCTGTTTGAGCCCGTGCTTTCAATTCTTTTGGCTACATACCTAAAAGTGGAGTTTCTTAATCATAAAGTAATTCTATGTTTAATTTTTTGACTGTTTTCCATAGTGGCGACATCATTTTACATTCCCACCAGCAATGCATAAAGATTGCAGTTTCTCTACATCCTCACCAAAATGTTATTTTCTTTTTTGTGTGTGTGATAATAGCCATCTTAATAGTTGTGAAGATTCACCAATTTTAAACCTGATTACATCAAAGGATTCTTAAAGTATTTGTTCTGAAATTCCTGATTTTCATTATTTCAACTCAATAAATTAAAATGGCTCTCTTGCCTTTTTTATACGCTTTTGCCATTTTTCTTAAAATTTCATGCCCGATTTTGTTATACCTTGATGAGCTTTACTCAGGTATTGGGGAACTTGACGTTTCCAAGATGTTGTTAGTTAGATGATGTCATGGCACATGAGATTCAGTAGGCTTTGTTGGTAACACTGGTGGAAATACAAGCAGAAGACACTTTTTGTTGTCCTTGTTGATGGCTGCTTTGTTGAATACTTTTAATAGCAGAATTCAACAATATCTTTCAATTCTATTGATGATTCACAATGGATTATTTGTATAATTTTTCTGAAACAGGTTGGCATACGACCAAAGTAACCTTTGAAAAGCATTTTAGAATTTTATAGCTTTCACGTAAATAAATCATTTGTATAGAAAATTCTGGGTGATATATTCCATGATTTGTGATGTTGCTTTTTAATTGGGTTGTAAGATTTTTTCATATACTCAAAAGGCAGCTTCAGCGTCCCTCATTAAGTCCCTAGGCCTGGCTGTATGAAAGAAATTGAGTAAAAGTGGGTAGATCGTAATGCCTGGCTTCATTCCTTTGATGATAGGTAATGGGTTAATAAAGGCTCCTATATTTTAGGATGCTGATAAATAGCAGCCAGACGTATGAATTGCCCAAGTCCATTTGTGCTAAAGCATTAGATGATTTAGTCATATCTTTGAATAGAGTTGATGACGCTGTTACCTCTACTTTCCTAGTCTTTGGCTTGTAAGATGACCTTTGCTATATAGTGCTATAGTCTACAGATATATTTCTGTCCAAATTGTGTTTTTACTCACTGTGTTGTTATTAAGCAAATAAAAGAGAATTTTGAAGAAGGTCTTGCTATAAATACAGAGAGGTTATCCTGTATCGTGTGCTATATAGGCTACAAAATTATTTGTATTCCACCACCCCCTCCTTATTTAAAGATTTCAGCAGCTAAGCCATTGATGTTATTTGACCTCTCATTGACATGATTTCTCCACAAGTTGGGATTCAGGCCACATTCTTGCATAATGACACAAGGCTTTGTCTTAAATGATGGGAATACTGAGTGTTTTTTGGTCTCTGTTTGATAAGGCTGGTGCTATCACTTCTCTTTGTAGATTCTGGGGGAGTTATTTATTTTTAAATGTTCTCATTGATTTGAGAGAGAGCGAGAGACAGAGAGAGAGAAGAGAGAGGGCGGGAGAGAGAGAGAGAGAAACATTGATGAGAAAGAGAAACACACCCCCTTCACACCTCCTTCTGGGGATCAAGCCCACAAACCTGAGCATGTGCCCTGACCGTGAATGGAATCAGCGACTTCTCGGTGCATGGATGACACTTAACCATAAGCTACATTGGCAAGGGCAGTAACTGGAGACTTTAAAAAGAAGCCTACAGATGAACCAGATTTTCCTTTTATCTTAGAAAGAAAAGTAAAAAACATATTGATAGACAATACTTACAGAGGAACCTCTGGCCCATGGGCCGTATAAGGCCTGTGAAATCATATGGTCTGGCCCTGCCCCAGCATTAGGGGCGAGCTAATTAAATGTTTGACCAAATATAGCAGGCTTATTTTTATTTTTATTTTTTTAGGGTTTTATTTAATTTAATTTATTTATTTTTTATTAAATTATTATCTGTAGCAGGCTTATTTTTTTAAGTTAACAATTTTGTTTAGCCTCCAAATGATGTTATAAATATCAAATGGCCCTTGGCAGAAAAAAGGTTCCCATACCTGATAGAAGTAAATAGATCTTATATATCACATTTAAGAAGAGTGCCTAACAATTACTTTTACTTTTGGATTGGTCAAAAATAAAATTTAAATAACTCAAAAACTACCTCTTTCGTTCAAGTCATACTCTTCAGATTTCTAGAACTAACTCATTTTATGCTTGTTGTGATTAGAAGTAGTATCTACCCCTTGGACTGTGGAACCTGGAGGCAATCAACTGAGAACCATGACCTACACCATAATTCTTAATAACCCGCTCACTGGGAAGAGCACCACTGCCACAGAAAAGCAGGTATGTCCCCTCATCAGTTCTCCAGAAGAGTCACACATGTGGGAAGAGAGAAAATGCCTTTCCCAGTCACGAGTTCATAAAACAATGTCAACAAATAAATGGCAAGAAGAAAAGTGAGCAAAAGTTGTTATCGGTTAAAAGAGACTTAAGAGACATTTCAACCCAATCCTAATTCAAACAAACCAACTGTAAAAAAAGGTACTCATGAGATTTAAGAAATTGTTAACTTTTTTTTTTTGTCTGTAATGCTGTTATAGCTGTATTTTCAAGAAAAGAATATTTATCTTTTAAAGAGACATACTGAAAAATGTATAAAGAGATATACATATTTATGTGTTTACTAGAGGCCCAGTGCACGAATTCATGCACGGGTGGGGTTTGGCCAGCCCTACCCTTTGGTCAAACTCCAGTTGAATTCCTAGTCAAGGGGACAATTTGCATATTACCCTTTTATTAGATAGGATGGATGATATTCTACTGATGTCTGGGATATCCTTTAAAAGTAACTAGCCAGGCAGAAGATGGTGAGTGTGTGTGAGAGGGATTGTGGGGCTGCGGTATAGATGAAACAAGACTAGGTAGAGTTAATGTTGTTGAAGCTGGTTGATGAGCTTATGAGGGTTCATTATGCTTCATTTCTACTCTTGTGTATGTTTGAACCTTTAAAAAAAAAAGTAGGTTTTAAAAAGAGTTGTATTGGCAGGGCCGGGGTGGCTCAGTTGATTGAGTGTTGTCCTATGCACTGGTTCTATTCCCATGGGGTACATATAGGAGGCAACTGATCAATCTCTATCTCTTTCTCTCTTTCTCAGCATGTCCTCAGGTGAGGATTAAAATAATAATAATAAAATAAAAAGAACGCTATTGGAATTTGATTTGCAGAGTCATGCCAAGGGTTAGGGTCAAATAACTCTATGGCTGCTGTGACATATGGGGAAGAGATGATAAGATATTTAATACCCTGCTTTGTGTTGGCATGGCACTGTTTTATAGCAGTGCTTGTGTTTGGCCAATTTGTGTTGAAGTATAGTGCATCTGCTGTGCAAATAGTTTGAAAATATCTGTTAACATCTGAACTAATTATGCTATTGTAGTTTTGTTCATCAGTGTTAAAAATGTCTTAAATTTTTTTTTCAAAAGAATTTCAGATAATTAAGAAAAGTTTGGTATTTTGGTATGAGATTCTTTGATAACCTTAGAGAATATGTATGATTACAGTAAGAAATGTTTGGCCAACAACCCCTTCAACCTGTTTAGGAAAAGCAGTTTTTTCTTTGGTGGCCTGTTTTTTTGATGAAGAGTGGTTTTATGATACTTTGATAAATTTGGGAGTGGGGTCCTTAATTTGTTCAAGCGCTTTTTGAATTGTTTCCTAACAGGGACATTTAAAATTCTTTATAAACTAATAATATACATAAGAGATTATATGGTTGCTTTCTCCTCCTCATGTCTAAAAGGAAGAAAAATTATTACACTATGAAATGGCGGAGAGGCAGGTCCCTTCTCATTTCATAGACAGCACAGCCAACGTGAAAGCTCTTCTGGCTTGGTACATAGGCCTGGCATGTCTTTTGTAATGTCTGAAAAAGAATTCTAATATATATGTTTGGAATGGACAAGGAATCTGATATATTAAACATGCACATGCAAAAATATTTTTTGTTGTTTTTTGGCAGACTCTGTATAAAGAAAGTCGGGAAACACAATTTTATTTGGTAGATGCAGAAGTGGTGACGCATGATGTCCCCTACCATGACTACTTCTATACCGTGAACAGATACCACATCTTCCCATCTTCAGAGCAGAAATGCCGGTTGAGGTGAGCGACTACAGATGAACGTTTTAGTCAGGAGAGACAGGTTAGATTACGCTCTGGTAACATAATAGTGGTCCTAAGATCTTAGTGGTAGCTTTACATAACAGAGCTCTATTTTTCTTCCAAATGACACATCCACCATTGGTCAGCAGAGAGATGGGGCTCCTCCCCCCATGTCCAAGCCCACGAAGGGTTAGACATTCTGCAGCTACACGATCCAAGAGTATGTGTCATTTCAGCTGCTACAGAAAGAACTGTGCTCACAATTCAGTAGCCAGAACTAAGCACTATACCCCGTTTAATGGCCAGGGCCCTTAAGGAGCACACGGTCGCAATGGAAAAGAAGAAATGTCGGTGCATTAAAATTAGTGATGGGCCATCAGATGCTTGGCTTACTCTTAGCCAATGTAGTTATTTTCAACTAATTTATGAGCACTGGAGATTTTTTATACAAGGTGTTTAGAAAACTTAGACTCTATTTTGAGCCTTTTCTGCTATTTAAGTGAAGGAACTTCAGCATGGGAGAAAGGAAATAAATAGTATGCCAGGTACTTAGAAGGAAAATTTGATGACGATATTAATCATACATAGTAATTTTTGAGAGAAGTCATTATCAGTAAACATCTTTTCTTTTATAATATTTATGACTTTAAATCCTTTCAGTTCCCCATTGAATACAATATTATATTTAATTGCAATGTTAATATAATTAAATTCTGTCATTTAAATAAATATTATTCTCATCCTGTTAGAGTTTCCACAGACTTGAAATACAGAAAACAGCCATGGGCCATTATCAAATCTGTAATTGAGAAGAATTCCTGGAGTTCATTGGAAGACTATTTCAAACAGCTTGGTTTGTAAATTTCTTGATTTATCTATTTTTGTAAAGATAACATTTATTAACAAAATGGACTAATTATTAATTTGGATTCATAGCAGAAACTGGTAGATGATGTTGGAATGACTTCCACTGAAGTGTGGTTATGACTACCCCACTTGGAATTTCACACTTTTAATTTTCATTGATCTAACAAACACTAATATAATTTTTACTGTAAGCCAGATATTGCTCTATGTGCTTTATAAATATCAACTCATTATAACCTACGAGATATTATTTTTTTTCCCCATTTTACCAAACAAGAAGTATTGAAACACAGAGGAAGAGGTTAAATGATTAGCCCAAGATCACAGTTAGGAGATGTCACACTTGCCTGACTCTGCAGGAAGCCAAGGAAGCAGTGAGGGCTTACATACTGGATCATACATGTGCTCCTGTGCTTGTTAATGTACGGGCAGTCCTCAACCCACATCTGCCTTATCAACTCAGCTTTCCTGGGTTTGTGCAGGTGTACTACACAATGGAGTAATGTACATGCGTGAATTTTGTGGAGGTGGATACTAGACAAGGGGAAGTAATACAGTAATTCTGTTTGAATATTCCTTAAAATTCCTTAAAATGCGAGAAAAATGTATAGCTACATGAGCAAAATTAATTTTAGTTAAAGCAAAGCAGTTAATTTGTCTATTATCCTCTAGATTATAGATTATTTTATTTCCTTGCTTTTCTCTTTCTGTTTTTTTCATTATTAAACTCCTAATCAGGAGCGAAGAAAATGAGAATCAAAAATTAGTTTGCCCACTGGATAATGAACTTCTAATGAAAAAATCTTGTAAAGGTAAAGGTTGAAGCAATTGACAAAAATGACTTTTTTTTTTTTATGTTGTCTGCAGATTTTCTTTGTTAGGGCTTCCTTTTTTGTAAACCCTTATTGTAAATTAGAACTATAATTTGCTACTCCTTCCTTTGAAGTTGACCATCAGGTATCATTATCTATCTTGGAAATCTTTCTAATGATCCAATATTAGTGGGTAGCCTGTTGTTTCTATAATTGAAATCGTTACATTAATATTTACTGTATTTTTCGGACCATAAGACGCACTTTTTTCCCCCCAGAAGTGGGGGGAAAAAGTCCCTACGTCTTATGGTCCAAATATAGCCTACACATATACTTAAAAAAAAAAAGTTTTTTTACTTGCCCGGCTCTGTGTGGTCTCTGTGTGCTTGCCCGGCTCTAAAATGGTTCTAAATGCTGCTGTTTACTTTACAGGATTGATTACATGTGTTTATGACTGTGATGTTGGGTTTTAATGCACATAAAATATTTTAGGACACTATTTGTTTCAGAATCTTTTTTTCTTCATTTCCCTTCTCTAAAAACTGGTGCATCTTATGGTCCGGAGCATCTTATGGTCCGAAAAATACGGTAATATAGCACATGGCAAATTTGCTTTGATGATCCCATCATTTATTAATATGGTTCATTCTTCCTAGAATAATGAAGCCTTATTTTTGTACTCTCATTAAGAGTAAGGTTTGAATGTAGGCTGTAAGAACCCAGGTAATTGTTAAAGAAAGTTTCTAAGGCTTAAAAAAACAAACAGAACACAAAACAAGCACCATATCCACTGTATCTTACAGTTGAGAAGCTTACTCCAATACCTAAAGATCTCTTTCCTTTTCAGAATCAGATCTGTTAATGGAAGAATCTACGTTGAGTCAGTCCATTGAAGACCCTGGAAAACTTAGTGGCCTACGAAGGAGAAGGCGAACATTCAACCGAACTGCAGACACGGGTCCTAAGCTTTCTTCTCAGCGTTCTTCCGGAGATGGGGGTTTGGATGACAAAGGGGCTGCTGCAGGTAGCTACTATCTGGTGGAAGGGTTAGTTTACTTATATGATGCAGAAGATGTCCCTTGAGCAGTTGCAAAATAGCAGGCGTATGGCCAATAGGAGTTTCTTATTGGATCACATGGCATTTTAAAAAATGGACATTTTGTATAAAAACTCAGACCTGACACCCCTGGACCAAATCCTTTCATAGCAACAGTTAGTTGGGACTTCATAGTAGCTGCTGCATTAGACCAGGTCCCCAGTCACCAATTCCCACCATTTGTCCCAGCTGCTGGATACTTCATTCATTCATTTCTTGCTCAGCACTTACAGACATTTTGAGTTCTACCCTTGAATGTACTACAGTGATTACATGTTTTTAATCCTTATATACTGTCAGGGCCAATGCAGAAAAATTGCAAAGATGAAATCTGAATTCTTTTTTTAAATCCTCACCTGAGGACATTTTCCCATTGATTTTTAGAGAGAGTGGAAGAGAGCGGGAAAGAAAGAGAAACGTCGATGTGAGAGTAACACATCGATTGGTTGCCTCCTGCACACACCCTGACCAGGCTCCAAGCTGGAGAGGAGCCCGCAACCAAAGTATGTACCCTTGACTGAGATCGAACCCGATAGAGCTGACGCTCTATCCGCTGAGCAAAACGGGCTGGGGTGGAATTTACTTTATTATCCTTGCTGCTCTCAATGTTGAAGACATCCTGCCTGTACTAACGTTATTCCCTCCCTCTTGGAACGCTAAAGCTGCAATACCTTCTCGTCCTTCTACATTATAAAATGCTCTTCTCAGGCTATTTCCCCCCACTTTTAAAAAATAAAAAATGTTTAATGTTGACATTGCGGGTGTCCCCCTTCCTTCCCCTTTGCCCACATCCACCTGCTCTTGCTTTCCCCTCCCATGGCCTTCTTATTTCTTAGTGTGACTATGTTCAAGCCAGTGGTCCAATTTTGGAATTTCAAAGTATGGGCAATAGAGAACAGGCGAAGATGACTTAAAATTTTTTTCAAGGAAGGAACACCTAACTCAAATATTGTTTGCAGAGATAGAACTCAGCTAGAGATCATACATGATATGTTTAATTGCATATTTAATTTTAGAGAAAATTAATTTGTAGTATAGGCCAAATTTGGAGGACTCATGTAAGTTTTCTTATTGTAGATGTGTTTCCTATTACTCAGGATATCAGGAACCATAAAAAGGTGCAGGGAGTTTTCTCTAAGTCACTTTGTCTTTACAAATAATTTTTTAAAATCTCTTTTTCTAGTTATTTTCAAATGAAATTAAAATTTTATTGGTTGTAATCATAATCCTGATTTTAAGGCAGCCTTCTTTGTGTGTATCTGTAGGAAAGAAAAAAGACACGGAAAGCAATCACACCGTCCTTATTGTGGTGATGAGTTTTTTGTAAGTATTTATTTTGAATGCTTATTTAGCTTAAGATTTCACTTTTAACAGTTTACAAAAGGATTGATGCATTTGTATATTATTGTGTAGAACTTGCCACTATTTGACCAGCTTGCGCCTACAGATACAATAATTTTATAGTCTTCTGTTTCATAGTTGTTGATGTATGATTTTCAGAAGAATTATTAAATTTGAAGGATTACTAAGTACATGTTCAGTAAATGTTTTTATTATTTAAACTAATTTATTTCTTGTATCATAAGTTTTTATGAGATGTTCCATAAATTTAAATGGAATATCTCTATATATAAGCATATGTGACCATTACGATGGAATGACCGGAAACGACCGGTCGTCCAGTCGCTATGATGTGCACTGACCACCAGGGGGCAGATGCTCCATGCAGGAGCTGCCCCCTGGTGGTAAGTGCACTCTCACAGGGAGAGTGCCACTCAGCAGAAGCCAGGCTCACAGCTGGCGAGTGGGGAATGGCAGCAGCAGGCACAGTGGGCCCTGATGACTGTAAGCTGGCACCCAGCCCCAGTTCAGGCTCCTCCATGGCCACCTGCTGCTTGCCTACTGCTACCTCCCTCGGGGATGTCTAACTGCCATGGGGATCAGGCCTGAACAGGAAGTTGCACATCCCCCAAGGGGTCCCGGATTGCAAGAGGGTGCAGGCCAAGTTTCCTGCACCAAGCCTTAGTTTATTTATATATGCAGACTGGTGAAATCTCAATAATGCTATATTACTCTTTTTTTTATTAGACCAGTAGTCCTTGCCCTTTACTGTGAATAAGAATCACTTGCTAAAATGTAGATTTCTCAGCCTCGGTTTCAGAGATTGTGTGTATGTCTTAAATAGGGATCAGGAATCAGTATTTCAAAACACTGCAGGTTATTCTGATCAAAGTGGTCTGAGGGTCACACGAAGGGAAATAGTGGGCAATTAGTGTGAATCTCAGAGTATTCTATAGGAGTCCATTTAACCAGTTATGTTATGAGTACTGTCATCCACATGGCCATATGTGAATCTTGAGGTAGTCCATTAGATTCCATTTAATTGGTTCTGAATGAAGAATGAAGTTCTTTTATCAGCTGTTTTTTCTAATTACAGATTTCAGAACATAGGAAATAATTGTTGTGCCTTTGAGTTTTATAAAAAGGTTTTCATATTCTGGGTTCAGTTTGCCATGACAATTTTGAATAGTAAATATTATCAGTGGTCTTTTGCATTATTACTTTGCAGAAAGTTTATACTCAAAATGTTGAAATGTTCATGTATGTTTCATTTCAGTGCCATTATAATTTCATAATTTGATTTTCTTGCTACTACATTAGTTTTCATTTTAAAAAGTATCCTCTTCTGGATGTATAGAGGGGAATGTTGTATATTTTTAAGGGCAAATCAATATTTTAACAGAAAAAAATGACATATGCCACCTATACATTTGCATATATGTATAATAAGAAAAATATCCATTTACTTGAAAGGCTGCTGTGAGAACCAACAGAGGAAGTTCATGTAGCATGTAACATTTTATATCTGATACAATTAATATATATTTCAGATTTGATACTTTCTTTGTCCAAGTTGAACTTGTGGAAATTTTTGCTGAATGGTTATTTTTAAAAATTTATTTTGGTTTCCACAGGGAATAACAGGTACATCATGATGTACCTAAGATTAGTACATATTGATCTTCACTTTCTGTTTGAAGTATAGCATTATGGGCTTACAAATGCTTAAGCCAAAAAGCACCCAAAAACCGATATGGAAAGCTTGCCTGGTAAAGGTCTAAGCTGGGGTCACACCTCACACAGAGAGGAGAGATGTCAGGGACTACAGTCATTCCAGTTACTTTCTAACTTTTTTTCTCAGTGTCCGTTTAATACTTAAAAGTAATGATGTTATATATTAGGGATAATTGACTTAAATACTAACAATAATTGGTAATTGGTTGGGTAATATGCATCTTTGAAGGCTTGGCATGTTCACTCTGCATTAGCAGTGCTCTAGGTCTGAATAAGAGAGGACTGACCAGGTGTGCTTTGTTCTGCCCAGCTTGCTGCTCCTGGTGGTGTTGAATGTGACACTGTTTGTGAAGCTGTCAAGGATAGAATATGCTGCTCAGTTTGTTTACCATCTCCACCACCAAGAAGAGAAATCCTTAAAGTAAGTTTTCCCTCCCTCCAACCTGCTATTATTTCAATAATTCCTTTAATGTAAAACACATTTCCTGTTTTAGAGATTTTGGGCTGCTAACTTTTCTGTAGTCAAGCTCTTTTTGTTCCTTAATTTCCTATTTTGTTTGCAAATTTATGGAGCACTAGTGATTTCTAGAAAGAAAGGATTAGCAGCTATTCCCCTGATTTTTTAAATGGTATTTTTCTTTCAGTTTAGCCTCTGACATGGTGTCAAGAGCAGAAAACAATCAAAAGCATTACGATCAGGCCCATCGTTTAAAAGGAGTGCTCCGAGACTCCATCGTGATGCTCGAAGAGGTAGGCAGCTGGGTGTCTGCTTGTGCATCTCTGGTTGTAAGAGGATATTTCGAATGTTGTTATGTGAAGAAACTTCCTCCTACAGGTTCTACCCTTGCCAGTTTCTGGATTTTGCATGCTCCTTCTACTAGAGGCCCGGTGCATGAATTTGTGCACAGGTGGAGTCCCTCAGCCTGGCCAGTGATTGGGGCTGATTGGGAGCTGGCTGGCTGTGGGGAGGGACCACAGAGGTTTGCCCTGGCAGCAAGCTAAGGCAAGGCCTATTCAGTGAGGAATCAGGCTCCCTCCCCCCTTCAGGGTCCGGGTGTGGGTGAACCAGATTCGGGGCTGTCAGGGCCCCAGCAGCAAGGACTGGGTCAGTGCACAGTGCTGGTCGATCTGATCGTTCGGTTTAACTGTCGCTTAGGCTTTTATAAATATAGATAACCACTTGTTGTTGTTTTTTTTATTTTTACAAAATGGAAGCATACTACACACACCATTGCATTTTTCTTTTTTTAATTGGTAATACATTTTGAAGATGTTTCCCTATCATCATATATATACACTGACATGATTCTTTTTATTAATCCTTCTATATGAAATTTTATGTGCTTAATATTAACTCTTGGTCAATAGATACTATAAACACTCATTATTTTGTTTTTATCTATTGACCATATACCTTGGAGATACTTCCTTATCAGTATGTAAAGCACTTACTCTACTTTTAACAACTGCATAGGATTTGACTATATAAATGTGCCCTATTTTTACCAGTTTTCCATTGAAGAATGAATATTTACTATATTTCAAAGTTTTGCTGTAAACATTATCTCTTGAACACAGTATTATTAATATATGCCACTTAGTTCCATGAACCAAAATTTAGGATTCCTTTTGAAAAATAAAGATGAATATTTCCATCTACAGTAATAAAAGAGAAAAAGCTAATTGACCTTGACTGTACCTTCGCTAGGCCCACAGCCAATCAGAGTATGCAAATTTACCCAACAAAGATGGTGATTAATTTGCATATGCTGAGGGTGGGAGGAGTGAAGGCTGAAGACAGCATAGAAAGAAGAGGGAGGAAAAGCGGAAAGTAAGGCAGCTGCCAGAGGGAAAGCGTGGGTGAGGTGGGGCGGGTGGGGTGGGCAGCGTGGTGGCTGGAGAGGCCATTTGCAGGAATCTTCCTGCAACGGGCTTCTAGTTATAATATATATATATATATATATATATATATATATATATATATATATATATACACACACTTACTTTTCAAAATTGAAAAATAGAGAATAGAAGAAAACCTAAATTCTAGCATTCAAACTTAATTACTTTTAACATTTTATTACCTTTCATCTTTTCCTTTTATGTATAAGTTTGCTTTTTAGGAGATTCAACTATTGAGCATTTCTTAGGATATCACTCAGGGCACTGAAGATTACAACTTCAATGAAGTACTCTTCGGATGCACAGTATCTATAGCTCCTTAGCAACCTTCTCCTCCCACTCTCACTTTTCTCCTCCTCATCTCCTCCCATATCCCCCTCACTCTCAACTGATGACTATGCGTTAAGGGAAAAAGAGACTTTCCCTCTCCTTCGGTAACCCAGTCTAGAGACCCTCCTATAGCTGCACTCCTGTCTTCTCCCCTCCTATTATATTCATTCCTCAGCCTATGGGAGGCAAGTCCCAGCATGTTAGCAGGAGACTCCATGCATCTCCCTTATAGCTTCCCCATTTTCAGTCTCCCTCACTCAATTGGGTTTTTACCATCAGTACATGACTGTGCTCTGTTATCTCCTACATTAAAATACCTACACCATGCATATCCTTCCCTATCTACTCATCTCTCTGCTCCCTTTCACAGCTGAACTCTTTTAGAGTTGTCTGTTCTGCCTGTCACTACTTTATCCTTCATAACTCATTCACTTTTTAAAGTTTTCATTTTCTCCCAAATAAGCAGTTCACATATTTTAAAGAGTTAATTTGTTCTACAAGGTTTGTTGAGAAAATAAGCAATCCCAGCACCCTCAAAGACAACAGTCTTAACCTTCAGTTTATAGTGTTGGCATGTACCTCCACATTTATAAACAACATGTATTGATAAAGTCTTGATTTTTCAGTTTTAGACATTCTTATTAGGAAAGTCAAAAAGAAAACAAGGATTTTGTTTTCTTTCCTTTCACTTCATCTTGCCCCCATTTCTAATTACCCCATATTCCCAAATGAAGTTATAATTTTGGTTAAATCAATATTTATTTACAATTTTGCTATTCTGAGCTACATCATAGAATAAACCATGATTACTTTTTATTTTCTGTGCTTTTTCTTATCCCTGAATTTCATTATGGTTGATTAGTTTATCAATATTATTTACGAATATTTCATTCCTTGTCATATGAGTCTGTTATAATCTTCCTTCGCCTCAGGCATTCCATCAATGGAGCCTCTAGCTGGCTCCAGTCAGGTCGGTGGCCCTCTGTGTGGGGCCACAGCTGGCATCCAGGGGATTCCTGTTGCCCATCTCTATTTCCTGTAGTCCATGTTTCCTGCTTTCTTGATTTATGTTCTCTTTTTAATGAAGCATATCCTTTAGAGGCCGCCTAAGAAAGAGTATGGAGGTAAATATTTTAAGATTTCACCTGTCTGAAAATTTTTTTATTCTGTCCTTTGACTATAGTTTGGCTGGGGGTAGGATTCTAACTTGGAAATAATGTTTTCTCAAAAGGTTTCAGTCATTGCACCATTGTCTTTTGGCTTTCATTGTTACTATTGAGAATTCTGGAGGATGTTATCATTCCTAATCCTTTAATGTGGAAAATCCTGCCCTTTAGTTCTGGGAAGTATTAAGTTAGATAGTTGATAGTTTTCTTCATTCCACTTTCTACAGCTCCTAAAACTCAGATGCTGGCTTTCAATTAATTGGACAAGTTGTCTAATCTTTGTAAGCTTTTTTTCTTCCAGCTTTCATCTCTGCTTTTTTAAAACACTGCCTCCTCCGTGATTTACTCAATCTTCAAATTCTTCTATTGAGTTTTTCAATTTTTACTAACAAGTTTTTAATTTCAAAGAGCTATTGTTCCTCTAAAAAATTTTAAGGCATTGTGATCTTTTTAAAATAGCTATACTGTATGTTTATCTCTCTGACCATATTTCTAATAAACAATTTTTTTTATTCTTCTTACATACTCACTTTCCATCATAATCCGTTTTCTTCTGTTTTGATTTCCATCCTTAGTGTTAGGGAATTTCTTTAGATGTCGATAGTCCTCGGTTGTCTGTTTGTGTGGATCAGAAGCTTTCAACATGTGTGTCCTATTGGTCTACCCTGAACTCTTCTGTACATTTGGCTGGTTGAGAAATCCAGTCTCAGTATTTTTAGGTGTTTCCTCTTGGGTTGGTCAGTTTCCACAGAGAATAATCTTCTAGTCTTCTATATGAAGGATTTGAGGGCTGGCTGCCAGCATTTTAGGAACAGAGTGAGAGAGGAATGGGCAGAGGAGATGGTTTCAATATTCAGTATATACTTTTTCCCTATAATCCTTCTGCTTTCGGTATGGTAGCACTGACTTTAACGATGTGTTGGTGTCCCCTGAGCAAGACAGCCAGAGAACCTCTGTTTTATCCTGTCCAGAAAATAACATTTTAGACTTTTGCCCAGGTAGTAAGAGGTCAGATGCCCAAAAGGTTCATCCAATCCTTATTTTAGCCCCTTCTTCTTAATTCCCACTTCCAGAGATTCCTGGCCATCAGGCTTTTGAGGATTCGTCAGGGTAAATTAGGTTGGTCTCAGCTTTCTCTAGTGTTAGCTTAGGATTCAGCCTTTTCAGGCCTGTGAAGTCATCCATCTGTTTTCCAGGTTCCCAAGTTGTGTTGCTGTTGTCACTTTCTGTTCTCCCAGCCCTTGGTTTATGTCTTTTAAAAGCAACAACAAATCCTGCCCTGGCCCTTGTAGCTCATTTGGTTGGAGCATCCTCTGGTTCACTAAAAGATTGCAAGTTCAATCCCCAATCGGGGCACATACGGGAGCAACCACTTGTTTCTCACATCAATCTCTGTCTGTCTGTCTATCGCTCTCTTCCCCACTCCAAAATCCATAATAATTCAAAGGAAAAGATATTCTTTCTAGTGGGATTTCAGAAGGAAGCAAAACTGGATGCATATATTTAACCCACTTCCTCGTTGTTCAGCTCACTCCTGCCTTGTTTTCTTCTCCCCTACCTTCCACCGATATTGCTTGAGCTGAGATCCCTAGTGACCTCTAGCTGTTAGCATAAATGTACCTTTCTTTTAGTTTCCATTAACAGTGTCAACATTTTGAGAGCTGACCACTCTTTTCTTGAAATGTATCTAAAAACCTCCAGCTTTATTGTGAACTAATTCATGTTATGAAATTCACCCTTTCAAAGGCTTTTTAATATATTCACAAGGTTATGCAACCATCACCACTAATTCCAGAGCATTTGCATCACCCCCAAAAGAACCTATAAATGGAATCTTTCGTGACTGGCTTCTATCATTTAGCATAACAGGAAACTCCTTTTTGCTGTAAAACTTTCTCCTGTATCTGACCTCTTTCTGGCCTAGTGCTCCACGCTGTGTTAGATTCTCTTCCCTTCTCCGCTTCCCCTTTAGGGGATCACATCCACTCCCCTGGCTTGGAATACCACATGTGCCAGTGACTCCCAAATCCATCTCTGACCTGATCTCTCCTGTGAGCTCCAGGCTCAGTCAGTCACTTGCTGAGTTGGCATCTTCACCTGGATGATAACAGGCATCCCAAACTGATCATGTCCAAAACAGAATTCTATTTTCATCCTGAGCCAAACCCACTTATAAAATTATAGTACCATCCTCCAGTTGCTTAAGTAAAAAACTTAATACAATGTGTGAGTACATTTTGTGTGTGTGATTATGTGTTTTAGTTTTATATTGCTTACTAATCTATAAGCTCCATGAAGGCAGAGACAGTGGCGAGAGTGGCTCTTTGGTTCACCATTGATACTCAGTGCTTAGCACAGTACATGTAATAGATAAACAGTAAATATTTGAATGAATGAATGAATGAATGAATATAAAGAAAACTAAGACTTAATTCTTTCAAGTTGACTACAATTTTATTAGAGAAATCAAAGGTCCGTGTGTATTGTTAGAAACTATAAAAAAAAAGTACAAAATTAAATGTCAAAGTAAGTAGTAATGCATTGGGAGAGTAGAGGCAGGATGAATAGAGAAAACTACATGGACAGGGGAATGAGTCCATTTGGGACAGATGAGGACAATTGCAAGCACAGGCCTGGAAGTGAAACCTGAGTTGTTTAGGAGAGAGTGAGACCACTGCAATTTCAGAAGCCATTTAAGGAAACAAGCCAGCCTGTCCCTCTGGATAATTTGATTGTAGACCTAATGAGAGATAGAATACCCAGTATGTAGGAAGAAGTGCGATCCTAGAGCAAATGGGAAGAACTCTGTAGCAATCACACTGACATAGATATCCTAAGGAAATCAGGTGTTTCATATTCAATGTTTTATTTGGACATCAGTATAAACAGAACTATGTCAAATGCAAATGAGAACTTTGGCATAAAAATGACCAGAAAAATGTAAACAATTTATTTTGAAAATTATTTTGTTTGCAGTTGAAGAGCTCACTCATTATGCTTCAGAGAACCTTTGATCTACTAAATAAAAATAAGACCGGCACGGCTGTGGAGAGCTAGTGATCTGAAGGACTGAAATTGGACAGATACTTGGAAGTAAAAGAAAACATCTTGGAGAAAACCAGAGGATGAAGGATTTTCATTGTCATACGAACATTTCCATATTTTTTTCAATATTGGTACTTCTAATATGAACATTCTTTTAAATAACATTTATTTCATAATTAGTCTCCAATGGCCTTAAGAATCTATCCGTTTGCTTCTTATACATTATTCTAAGCTGTGAATTTCTCCAGTGAAGCATGAACTACATTGTGGAATTGAATTTCTGTGATGCAAAAAGAAAATGGGACACTTTGGCCTCGTTTTTAGAGGGAGGTTTGAAGTTTGATGCTTTATCTGTTAGCACAGAATCAGTATGTGTCCAATTGGCTGCTTTCACAGTTGATATACATTCAACAGGCTAACGACAATCAATATAAGAAGAAATCTCTAAGCCCTTACGAATTTTGAAGGATCAGTTTTTAGGCATATACATTTCAAGATTTACATACTGTAAATATTACAATGTCTTCATTTATTTAGCACACAAATTCAATAGACTTTTTGACTCTGCACATTGGTGATAATTATGTGAGAAGTTCTTCATTCATATTGTATCTTCATGAAAGAAAGTTTTCTTCTTCAAGTAGCTATCAGAGGTGAGGTTATCTTGCCTCTTCATTCATCAAATGAATTGAAGAGTCAATTTCAGAAAAGGAAATATGTAGGATTCCAACACTCAAAATGAAGAATCATGCTCTGAGTTTTAAAAACCAGATTAGGTTAAAATCTGGGCATTTAGTAATCAAATAAATACTTGAACTAAGCTTGGCTTCAGCTTAGCAGTCTAATTTGTGGATACATTTTCAGTAGCCACAGATAGCTTCATTTATTCCTTCATGTGAGTGGCTTGCTTTAGTCAGTTGTAAGACACAAAATAGCTCTTTAATAAAACTCTGGGTTCATTATCTCCCAATACAAGTATACTGATTGAAGTTGTAAGTCAGACACAAGCTTTGACTCTTTCGTACAAAGGTTTTAGCATATATGTCTCAATACAAGTGATGTCTCCAGAACAAGAGCAAGATAGTGCAGAATAATGTGTATATATTTGTACTGTTTCAACAACTATTGCCTTTAAATTTCTTCTTTTTAAGAAATTTAAAGGCAATAGTTAGAGAGTCACCACAGCCACACGGGATTGCTGAAGTCATCTTTGAGACGCCTGTAGAGAATCAAAGTATTGACTCCATTAGAGGGAAAATGGGTTTGAGTGAATCCCAACTCAGCTACGTCAGGGAACCAGTGTACCTACCTGGGTTTCATTGTTTTTAAAATAAGGATTTATGAAGGGTCTGGTTGTGAGCAAGAGTGACAGGATTATAAACTTGAAACCTTGTTCTCTTAAATTCACAAAAATAATCAGTGACAAGCTGAATATTTCTGAGATGTTTCTGTAAAACTTATACTTCAATATATACCTCAAAGAAAATGACCAAAGTTGCTTTATAAATTACGATTAAACATGCATGTATGCAAAATTCAATCAATTGTATTTAAGTGTTATATAAATTGAATATCAATAAAACCCAGAATCTGAGTTGTCACTTTTCTTCCTTTTCTGTTTGAAAAACAAACAAACAAACAACAACAACAACAACCACACACACACACACACCCCAAACAAAACTCAAAAAGTATAGTCTGCCCTAACCGGTTTGGCTCAGTGGATCGAGCTTCAGCCTGCGGACTCAAGGGTCCCAGGTTCGATTCTGGTAGGGGCATGTGCCTTGGTTGAGGGCACATCCTCAGGAGAAGGTGTGCAGGAGGCAGCTGATCGGTGTTTCTCATCGATGTTTCAAACTCTATCCCTCTTCCTTCCTCTCTGTAAGAAAAATCAATAAAATATATACTATTAAAAAGTACAGTCTGCTGTTGTGAAAACATGGGCCTACACTCTTTAAAAATGGTGTGTAAAAACCAAAGAGAACTCCTTACATCAATTTCATTTCAACTATGCATACCTTTGGAACAAAAACACTAGGTAGGCCTGTGGGTCTAATGAAGACTGCTCACTACCAAAACCAGTGTGGATGGAGCAACGGCCTGCGGACCCAAGGGCCCCAGGTTCAATTCCAGTCAAGGATCTGTACCTTGGTTGGGCACATCCCCAGTGGGGGTGTGTGCAGGAGGCAGCTGGTCGATGTTTCTAACTCTATTCCTCTCCCTTCTTCTCTGTAAAAAAAAAAAAAAAAAAAAAAAAAAATCAATAAAAATATTTTTTTAAAAAAAAGAAAGAAAAAGACTGCTCACTAGAAAAAATAAGGAACAAGTCGGGTGATGACCGGCTCGGGCAGTGAGGGCCTTATGGGGAGGCTGGCCCATTGGAGGCACCTAGGTCCCCAGGCGGCGGCGAGCTCCCCAGCGCCTGTTGCGGGCGGGCGGGCGGCTGAGTGAGCGCCGGCGGCCCGGGCTTCACGTGCTTCTCGTGCTTTGGAGAGCCTCGGGGTTCTCGGGTTTCCCCCATTTCCGTGCGCCCCTCCCCGGCCGGGCTCGGAGGCCGCCCCGCCCGCCCGCACCGGCGGGGTCGGACCGGGTCTCCGCGGGGCGGGGCGGGGCGGGGCGGGGGGCGGGGGGCGGGCCAGTCCGGCTCCCGGACCCGGTTCTCCGGTCCCGGGCTGAGGGCGGGGCCCCGCTGCGGCTCCGCGGGGCGGGGGCGGGGACCCCGGCGCCGGGGGCGGGGACCAGGAAGCGCGCGGACCTGCCGCCAGCCGGGCGGCCGCGGGGCGGGGGGCGCACCCGGGGCGGCGGCGGGCACAGGTGGGCGGCGGCGGCAGCGGGGCCCGGGGACCCGGCTCTCACCCGGGAGCCCCGCGGGGCTGAGACCAGGCTCGCGTCCGCGCCGCAGGAGGAGCCGCCCCGCTCCCTCCGCCCTGGCTCCCGGGGCTGCAGCCGCGCCTCCGCCCGGAGCGCAGGTAACTTCCCTCCAAGGTCATCCTCCTGCCCGGGGCGCTCGGGCCGCCACGTCCTCGCCGGTGCGGGCGGCGGGGGAGCCGGGCGCGGGGCCGGGGGCGCGGGCTGGGGGAGCGGGGTGGGCGGCGAACCGGGTCGCCGGCCCCTGCAGCCGGGCATGTTTGCCCGCCCGGCGGGTGCAGCCCGCGCCACCGCCCACAGCTCCGAGGGTGAGTTTCCATCGGTGCCCGGGTCCCGGCAGCCGTCCCCAGCCCGCGTCCCGGCCGTCCCGGGCGGCGTGGTCCGCTGTCGCCATGGGAACGGCTGGTCCCCGGAGCCTGGGATGGGACGGGACGGGATGGGACGGGAAGGTGAAAGCGGCTCAGAGCCTAGAGCCTTAGTGCTCTCTGCCTGGCCAGCCCGGGTCAGAAAAGCCCGATGAAAATGGGACCCTCTTTCCCCTCTTCTCATGTTTGATTTCTCAGGCGTTGGCGTGCGATCCGAGAGCGGCGTGAATGTGTTTGGAAGATGTGAGTTGTGTTCTTTCCTCCTTCACCTTCCAAGAGGGCTCGTGGTGACAGGTGGCCGTCATGGCACAGAAGGGCAGTTTGAAGTCAGGGAAGAAAAACAAAGCGGGAGAACCCGAACTGGAGCCCCTGTGCTGCTGCGAGTACATAGATCGGAATGGGGAGAAGAACCACGTGGCCGCGTTCTTGTGTGATTGCCAAGACCTGGATGAAGGGTGTGAGAGGTGAGAGCGGGGTGTGTCTCGTCGCTAACACCCCCCCCCCCCCCCCTCCACCGACCCTTTTGAGAACTGCGCGATGTATACTTTCAGCTTAGCCACCCAGGACACTGGGATCGGCTCTGATTCTCTTTCCAAGGATCATAGTGAGTAGTCTTCTATGTCAAGGGTAAGGATTTTATAAAGATGAATTACTCAGTCGTGCACAACTGTCTGTTCAGCTGAGTATACTAGGACATTATTTTTCACTTAAAGGGAGAAGATGGAGAGGACAGGCAGATAAAGGGATAGAAGGCAAATTAAATGTGTAAAAAAAATAAAGTGCAGCCCAGCAGAATCTGTAATTTTAAGAAGGAGCACTGTGCCAGAAAGTTCCTGCGTTCTCAGTGGAGACGGACTAGGTGGGACCTGGCGTGAAGGGCCTTGAGGGCGGACAGATCATTTTCCTGCAGCTGGACCTGGTCTCACCCCTTGTTACTGGGGAGGAGGTCCAGCTGGGAAACGCATCCCTCTCCTGCACTAGCTGTTTTCAACACGAGCGCAGCGCTGTTCGGTTCCATTGTATTGTATTTGGCTTTTATTTTCACCGTTAATCCAAGTGATGAAAATTACTACCCAGGAAAATGATTTTTCACATCACTGAAAGAATTTTGTATCAAACATTAATAACTTGGCTTTTTTTTTCCTTTTTCTAAGTAATATATTTAAAGATGGTTGCCATATGGAAAGCATAATGTGGGAAGAAGGAGAATGTTGGAAACTTGCTTTTCCTATTAATAATAACTCCTTCTGCTTAAAAAGTCATTGCAGTGGCAGATTGCTGATTTAAAACTCTGTGCATTAATCTAGCATGACAGGCATCCTTTGGGGCCACTGTGGTCTAGGACCAGCCTTGACACCTGAATACCTCATACTTCTTACTAGACAGCGTCTGTAACCTTTTTTACAGTCCTTATCGTTTCTTTAGACTTAGTCTAAAAGCCCCTGAGAAAATGGAGCACTTTGTGCTAACGAATGGAGAAATGCTGCTTCCGTAATCTCCATCATTGAAGATGGCAGCTCTTCCGTTAACCTGACTCTTCTCCCTCCCGGCCTGGAGAACTGGGCTGTGCCTGAATTCTCTGCTCTCTCCATATACTGCTCTGGAGATTGGCTCCCACTGCTCTGTATGACTCCCTCCCGTAGAGTCTAGCCCTCCTTTTTTTTTTTTTTTTAATATATTTTATTGATTTTTACAGAAAGGAAGGGAAAGGGATAGAGAGTTAGAAACATTGATGAGACAGAATCGTTGATCAGCTGCCTCCTGCACACCCCCTACCGGGGATGTGCCCGCAACCAAGGTACATGCCCTTGACCGGAATAGAACCTGGGACCCTTGAGTTCGCAGGCCGATGATCTGTCCACTGAGCCAAACTGGTTTCGGCAAGCCCTACTTTTTCTTAATAGTATAAAATCAGTGTGATCATTCCTTAAACTGTTCCTTGCCTTACTAGCTTAAGCATGCAAAAAAAAACCCACCTCAACTGTATGCCATGTGTCCTCCAAGCGTGGGTCATTTGACTCCCACTAGTTTGATTTCCATTCTCCCCCATGCAGACCCCTCCTCCTGCGGAACAGGCCCCTCCCTGGGCCCAGTACAGAGTGTGTACCTTACACCGGGAAGCTTCCCACCCTCCCTCCTCTCGTGTACAACTGCTAGCCAGCCGTCAAGGCCGAGCGCAGATCCCGCCTTTTGCACAAAGACCCCTCTAATGAATCCACTCAGACGTGTTCGCTCTCCTTTGAGCACTCCTTTCGATGTTTGGCCATCATAGTTCACTGGGTGATTTTGCTGCTTTGTCACTTACCTAAAAATTCTTGAGTTCCCTTCTTGTCTTGTCTTTGCAACGACCTTGTGAATTTGAGACTTTTATGTCTCTATACCCACCCAAGTCTAGGCAGTATGTGTATAGAATGTGCATATTTATATGTATTTGTTTCAGGGAGAAGTCGTTTAAACTGTTTAGACATTATATTCTGGTTTATATTTTAAAATGATACATGATTTTGAAAATAGCTTGTGCAGTAGTCAGGCAGTAGAATGCTTGGCCTTTGGCCTCCTTTGTCATTTATCCTGCCGCTTGACCTGCAGAGTTCACCGGTTTTTAATTCCACAAACCCCTATGAAGTGCCTTCTCTTTGTGCTCTTTCTGAATCAGATGGATTACGTGTAAATCTGTGCAGCCAGAGACTTGTGAAAGAATCATGGATACCATCTCTGATCGCCTCCGGATTCCTTGGCTTCGCGGAGCCAGAAAAGTTAACATTAGCATCATCCCCCCTCTCGTCCT